GAAACTGTTGATAGGTATATATTAGATGGAGTGGAGAATGGGTGCGCCTGCTAATACATAATGTTAACAAACATAAGGCTTGGAATTTTAACCAGCTTTCAGAGAATTTAAGACTTCTAGAATTTTTAAGTTTCTACTTCTTCCATTTCATGAATTATATAGATACATAAATATAGATGATCTGGTTTCAAGTAAATCTTGGAATAGCTAATGTTTGCTTATTCTACTAAAATGTAAAATTGTAGCTCTAGGTAAAATATATATTGCTGTAAGCTTGAATTCTAAATTTTATTTTACCATTCTTACTCCAATATTTGAATATAGATTGCAGAGTTTCAAGTTGTATCAAAAAAAGTATATGGAATATGGATAGTACCTGGATATGTATGACACTGTAGCTCTGGGTTTAGATACGACTACAGATCCTGTAGATCTAGGTCATACATATTTATCATCATATGTAAAGATTGGGATTCACAACTTACGTACTGTATAATATGTATATATAGGTCTTGGTTCTGTACAATAATGCCAGCTCCGGGTTCCAGATATAACTGGTTGAGTGAAAACAAATGTTTCTCGTTCTACAAGAATTTCACCATATTAACTATATGGTTCGGTTTCTGGATCAATGAGTTTAATCAATAATATCGTGTCTCTACTTTACAAACAAATATATTTCAGAATTAAGATAAGGTTTTTTTTTATTTCATGATTTTCTGGTTCAAAAACGAAATTATGTAAATTTGGAAAAAATTGGGCTGCAGTCTCTGTTAGGTCCCGGGAAAAATTGCGTCATGCTTTGGTGCGAAAAATTGCGTCATGTTTGGGTAATGGGTATGACGCGCTATTGACAGAAGATTCTAGGCACGGATATGGGCTTGAGGCGATAAGACTTGAGAACGATTTTTCTTTCTTACTCATTCTCTATATCCCCCCCCTTGTACCCCATAATATTAACATTAACAAATACCATGGTTCAGTTTTCATGAGAAATATTAAGACAGAAAGCTTTTTAAGTAACCTAATACCGAAATAAAACTGATTTAACAGTCTGGTCCTTGCTCCAGCTAGATGTGACTTATTATCAAAATTTAAACACTTAATGTAACCCTCAATACGCGATTTACAGCGATACCCTTGAAACCTGAATTTCATCAAAACTGTGGAAGCTACCGTCATTTTCTAACTCGGAAAGAGGCCAATTCTGATAATTTCTCCATTGCTTTTTAAAAGCAAGAAATGCGCAAGGCCCTTTTGCAGAATAAATGCAAATGAGAATAAACAGTTATTGGCATCTTTGCATGGAGGGTCACTTGAAATTACAATTTTTAAACATAAAGTCAGCATACAAAAGTAGAAAAAAACAACTCTGTACTTAAAAGATTGTTAAATTAAAGAATAAAACGCAATTAAATATAAATAAAAGAAGCCTCTAGTCATAATTTGTCGAGAATTATAGAAAAATAAAATTTAGTAGGAAGAGTGTAAATGAAGAATGGAAGATAGAAAATTGAAAGAGAATAGAAGATAGAAAATTGAAAGAGAATGAAAGAAAGAAGATTAAAAGAGAATGGAAGATAGAAGATTGAAAGAGAATGGAAGATAGAAAATTGAAAGAGAATGGAAGACAGAAAATTGAAAGAGAATGGAAGATAGAAGATTGAAAGAGAATGGAAGATAGGAAACTAAAAGAGAGTAATGGAAGAGAATAAAGAAAATGAGAGTAAAAAGTTTTAAAAAAGAGAACGAAAAGGCAAAAAGTAACAATAAAAAAGAAAAAAGTAGAAGAGTTGAAAATAAGAAAAATAAAGAAGGGAAGAAAGAAAGTAAGATAGTAAAAGTAAAGTGTGAGCTATATATCTGCTGAATTAAGGGCACATGTGGTGATATGATTAGATATGAATTGATAAACCGGTATATATGCACTTTACAGTATCTAACAGCTTACAAAAAGTGGAATTAAATTAATATCTTTAAAAAATGAAGAATTTTTTTTTTTTTAATTAGATTGCTTAACTTGTTTTTGATTTGACTTCAAAGCCATTCATTACCATAATTATAATTCTCAATTAAAAAATGTAAAAACAGTTTTAAATATTGAATATTGAATATGGTTTTATAATCATTAGTTATATCACGAAATTCAAGTTTCTTTGTATTGTGTGAAGGGTACCCCTCCCCTAGTGGGAGTATGCCTCAGATTGATAAATCTCTAGATAAGTATAGCTAGATATTTGGTTTGGAAAATTTCATTTATTTTTATTATTCGTACGTTAAAGATTTCCTAAAACATTCTTTATCAAAACATTTAGTATATACCAATAAAAATTTCGTTAAAGAACATATGTCAAATCTTCAGGTTGTCATTAAAGTAATATTGTGGGTGATATTCAAATAATTTTACTTCTTATAAATATAAGTAAGTTCCAAGGCCCTAAACCCTGTGTTTAATTCAATAATTAAAACCTGGCTTAGTTTAGAATTTTACCTTTGTAACATATATTTATGAACATAATCCTATAGCTCCAGCTTTAGCTATGATCTCATGACATCTATGTCAAGATAAGTGGATCAATCTTATTCTCTACAGGTCCAGCTCTAGCTATGATCAGATGACGTCTATGTCAAGATGAGTGGATCAGACCTATTCTCTAACCTGTAATATTGTATTTAAAAACATAATCCTATAGCTCCAGCTTTAGCTATGATCTGATGAAATCTATGTCAAGATAAGTGGATCAATCTTATTCTCTACAGGTCCAGCTCTAACTATGATCAGATGACGTCTATGTCAAGATGACTGGATCAGACCTATTCTCTAACCTGTAATATTGTATTTAAGAACATAATACTATAGCTCCAGCTCTAGCTATGATCAGATGACGTCTATGTCAAGATGAGTGGATCAGACCTATTCTCTAACCTGTAATATTGTATTTATGAACATAATACTATAGCTCCAGCTCTAACTATGATCAGATGACGTCTATGTCAAGATGAGTGGATCAGACCTATTCTCTAACCTGTAATATTGTATTTATGAACATAATCCTATAGCTCCAGCTTTAGCTATGATCTGATGACATCTATGTCAAGATAAGTGGATCAATCTTATTCTCTACAGGTCCAGCTCTAGCTATGATCTGATGACGTCTATGTCAAGATGAGTGGATCAGACCTATTCTCTAACCTGTAATATTGTATTTAAAAACATAATCCTACAGGTCCAGCTCTAGCTATGATCTGATGACGTCTATGTCAAGATGAGTGGATCAGACCTAATCTCTACAGGTCCAGCTCTAACTATGATCTGATGACGTCTATGTCAAGATGAGTAAATCAATCCTATTCTCAAACCTGTAATATTGTATTTAAGAACATAATCCTACAGGTCCAGCTCTAGCTATGATCTGATGACGTCTATGTCAAGATGAGTTGATTAATCCTATTCTCTAACCTGTAATATTGTATTTTTCCATGGTTTGGTTATATCTGGTATCCGGTAGTGACTACTAACTGGTGTAGTGGGCGGAGAGAAAAAAAGCAAAAGACAAAGCCTTCTCATGAATAGACTTCTCAGCTATCTTGATCAAGGAATATTTATAACTAAAGAACTTGACAGTGGACATCTTATCAATTATTAGCAATTGTTTTATGCTAATTTTATTTCATTGTTCACATTAATACGTATACGTAAGTTGAATTAAAAGAAAATTACAGTCGCAATTTCAAAACATGTATATCGTGCCGAAGAAGTCTATTGAGAATTAGAAAAAAGCTTTGAGACTTCAAAATCTTCATATCCAGAGCTACATAAAAGTAGAGCGGATTTGCAAGGTCAACTAGTCAAAGTCAGCTCAATATAAACAGTTTATTAATAATTCTTATAATATTTGCAAATTTTGGAAAATATTGTGATATTAAATTGAGGGAGTAAATTAAGTTGAGGAAGTGAATTTAAATAAGGGAGTTAATAAATAGAAGGAGTGAATTAAGGTAACCGGGAGATAATGGAGTGTATGGAGTTAATTAAATTAAGAGAGTAAATGAAGTTGAGGGAGTGAATTGAGGTGTGGAGAACATAAAGTGGGGGGGGGGG